CACTCCAGGCGCGCGGGCCACCGGATCCCGAGGTACGCGGCCATCATGGGCTCGCAGCCGTTGCGCGCGGACTCGCAAAGCGGCCGGCACGGGGGCGCGGGCTCGCCGGCGGCCGTGCACGCGGGCGCGAACGCCGCGCACAGGAACGTTTTCAAGTCGTACGAGCACCGCACGTTCCACAGCCACGCGTATCCGTGCACCTCGTAGCCGGCCTCGGTCTGGGACGCGTGACCCAACACGTTGGGCACGGCCGTCTCGGCGTACGGCAGGCCCGCGCAGAACGGTATCGCGATCGGCTGGCACGTACCGCCGACCGGCGACGGTGGCACCAGCAGCAGCAGCACCGCGACCCAATGGACGTACCGCGGTCGTCGTGTCGCCATCTCGTCCCGATCGGAGAACGTAACGATAATCGCGATCGTGAAATTCGAAAAAAAAAAATCGTGATTCCCGACGGAACGCGCTACGCACGACAATCCCGACACGGTCGCGTATGTTTTATGTTCGGTTTTTTTTTTTCACTCGCGACAACGGTACTTGAAATGATTCACCGCGGCAGCGATAGGAAATATAAATAAATGTATATGTTTTTTGTCGTTTTCGATAATTTTCACTATCGGACGACGCGATAACGGGTTTGGCGGTGTAGACCTGCGGCTCGCGAACCGGACGTTGCATTCGCGTACTTGGACAACGGTGGGGGTAGGAAAAATAAAATGCAACTATTACGCGTATGACGTGGGCAGTCGTCGTGATCAAAGGTTAGGTTGGCTCGTCGCGTGATCCTTGGCAAGCTTAGGATCGTATTTAAGTACACATCGACGTTGTTGCTGGATTCGTCAAATTTGTTGTTACAACGATATTCATATCCGTGTTCGTATACACGTCGTTTTCGTTATTTTTTCGTGCACCTCCGTGAATAGCAGTTAAAACTCGAACGATAATCGCCTTAAAAATTTGATTTTAGATGCACGTTGGTTTATAGTTTTCGCTCGAACGCATACCGCGGATGGTATCATATTGGGCACGATCGAAATAGGTTTAAAATAAATTAACGTGATCCACAAATTAAACACGTTTTAGAGAAATAATGACATTCACGACGCAATAAATTAATCTCCGTGTAGATCATGCGTACGTAACCGAATCCTAGTGCAAGAAACTTAATTGACAATAATCCTATTAAATTGAAATCGATTTACACGTAGCTCTTACAAATAATATTATTGTGAGAATGGAAAAAAAAAATTACTGTTATTGTAATAGTAAAATGGGTTGATGGATATATTTTTAATATTTAAAAAAAAACGAAACAACCAACCACACTAACCACACGATAACATTATTATCTGAGTTTCAGAAATGAGCCGAATCGAACTGAGTCAGTGATAATTCAATAAATCAAATAAAATCAATAGAACAAAAGAAATATAAGTACCACCTAATAAACGTCATGTGTTTACAGTGGAAATTTCGTTTTGAAGAACGGTAAACAATTGAAAATTAATAATAATAATGTACAAGTGAAACACTAAACAATTTAAAAAAAAAAATCAAATAAGCTAATAAAAAATGTAAACTGAATAAAAATAAAATAAATCGCACTATAGACAAAATAAAATGTAAACGGAAATGTGATAACAACGAATTTCAGAAAATAGATAGAAAATTCGTCAAGCCTGAAGATGGCACATACTCGTTACTATACCATTTCCTCTTTTAAAATAACACTGATTTATAAACATCGTAAATATCGAACAGAATTATAACGTGGTAAAATAAAATGTTTTTTTTTTTTTTTTACGAGGTACAGACTGGCGCATCTTGCCAATGCATCGTACCCGATCCAACCAGTCACGTAAACAAAAAACGTTTATCTGAAAGGAGTGGATGGGAAATAAATGAGATTTATGCTGGTTAAAAAAAAAATGAAACAATAAGAGTTTAGAAAACATTTTGGAAAGGAATTTAACCTCTTGTATACGTGCCTGGATCAAACATAAAAGAATACGAGTATAACGATTCGTAAAACAGAATATATATAAATAACTGTAAAATACATTTTTTAAGTATATTACTCTTATAGCAAAAAAACAATGGGAAAGTGAAAAAATAGCATAAATATTATTATTTTGTTCTCTGTTTTTATTCGATGATAATAGATGTAAGCGTGTTTATTAATAATTGTTTATACTAACGTTGTTATAATATGACGTTGTGTCCTAAGTGTCAAATATCTATCGCTCGTAAAGAATACAGCGTACAATGTACTACACGTAATACGGTAACACATGTATAAAATGCTCAAAAATTGATGAAGATAGTCTTGAATATCTTAAAACTATTGACAAAAAATACAATTGTGATGAGTCAACCAATCAAAAATTGGACAACATGATGATATGTTTATTATATGAACTCAAACACACAAAACTTAAGGGTTCTGTGGCATAGACGCACATAGGGGGGTGCTCGGGGGTGCTTAGCACCCCCAGTTTTCTAGAATATTTATTTCAGTATTTCATCAATAATTTGTAAATTATTATGGTTTTTGTGTTGAACATTTTTTTTTCACTATAAATAGACAATAATATATAATATAGTTGACGAATTCGGTAATTCACGATTCCGCATAAACCTTTTCATTCACAATTTCGTATTATTCGTATTATTGTGTCAGATAGGAATAAGGAACTAACTGGTGTTAATGACTATAAACATCGATTTGTCGGTGTTCGCAAATGCGATCATCTTTTAAAGTGGCGCTGTTCTTCTGCCAAAAATTGCACAGCGTTTATTTTTTTCAAATTCAGAAGAAAAAAATAGTTCTTAACTCAGAAGGTGAACATCATCATCCGGCTGACACTCCTAATAAAATAGAAAAACAAGTACTCAGAGAAAATTTTAAGCGACGAGCATAGGAGTCAATTTCTAGAAAACCTATTAAAATTAGTCGTACAGAGTTACAATATTAAATATTTATATATTTAATATTTTTGCATAACAATCGAACTACCATGTTATTCACGTTTATTGTAAATTAGTTATATATTAAAGGAAAAAATTTAAATACATTTTTCTATATAAATTTTTAATTATTTGTTTTATTATAATTTTTTTCCTTTAACTGGCAACGTTGCAACCATTTTTATGCGGAATCGTGTTAAATTCAGGGTAAATAAAAAAATCTTTTGTATCGGAATTGCGTGGGAAAAACGGTATATTGTGCGAAATCGTGTGCTACCCGACGAATTCACGATTAAAACAGTATTGTATAATTGCACGTTTTACTGTTTCAGTTTTTGTCTAACTATTAAACTATAAACAAGAATCACAATATTATAGAAAATTATATTATCTTCTTTTATATTCTTATATTATCTACGGTTTACAAAATTATGTTCTATTTATAACTTTGATTATTACTTGGTTTTTAGTAATACTTAACCTGTGAGCTACGCTGAATTGTATGCGGAATGACAAATATTATTACCAATCATACAAACGATATGATTCATTACTATTTACATTTTATATACTAGTTCGTATTTTTGATATAACAGGTTATTTTGAAAGTATCGACAGTTAGTTTATCAGCAGAAATGCTGGTCTTAAATAATAGTTTACCAGCCAACTTTGAATTTGAAGACTTGAAAAATAATGTAATAAAAGTTCGATTCAAAATGTTTATAAACTAATTCAAGTGGTAATGACAATTCCAATTTCTTCTTCAACGTATGAACGCTCCTTTTCAGCTATGCGTAGATAGAAAAATTGGTTCCGCACTAGTATGGGTCAAGAAAGATTTTCTAAGCTATCTACGCTTAGCATTGAGAGAGATCTTACCAATAAATAGATGGGGAAGTTATATTGGAAAAATTTGCATCATCCAACAGGAAATTAAATCTTGTTTAATATATTATTAATAATTAAATATTATTATAACTTATAATATAATTACTTTTAAATATTCATTAATAAAAATTAAAAACTATGGAAACCCAGTTGATTTTGGTACTAGGGGGTATGGGGGGCAAAGCTCCCCACGGACCTGTGTACTATAAATTATTCTAGCACCCCCTGAATTCACACACAATGTGTGCCTATATTCTGTGGTGTGTGTGAGATCACTACATTGCTCGGCCCATAAATCATAGGACCTGGCACCGACTATCAGATAAGAACTAAAATAATACTGAAAATGGCCTAAATGGTTACAATATATATAAATACCAACTTAAGTATAACAAATTAGTATATTTTTATATATACTGAAAAATTCAAAAAAAAATGTTGATTAATTTATGAAAGGTCAAATAAAATAAAATTATGTATATATTAATATTAATAGGTATTTTAAATACTTATTTTATTATCGATCGAATGACGTTCTAGTTCAATAAATTTAGTTGTAATACATTTCCTTAGTTACAGTTCACGTAATAACAATTCAACTAAGTTTATTGCCAAGCCGTATGCATGAATAAAGCGATAGGTAAATTATGTCTTTTCCATTTGGAGTGCATGTTAGAAATAATTTAAAATCTTCGTCTCGTTTTACGAGTATTTTTTTTCTCGAGTCGTCTATTTTTTAAGTTTTTTTATTGGATTGGAAAATCGATTTATTTTATTCGTTTGAACTTATACGGCATCACAGCCACACCGTAGTATGCATGATGTTGGTTTTAAATTTTAAATCGTTGTATAATTGTTTTATACCTAAATTTGACTTTAAAGGGGAATTCGTAAAAACCTATTAAACTAATATTTTTTGTTAACTAGTATTATTCATATTGATTCATGTTGTAATCAATTTAATTTCTCAGGAAATAATTTTTTATCCAATTGTCATTTTTCTAATTTAAAGTTCACAATACTCTATTCGTCGTTTAATTATATTGTTATGACTCATTATGCTCAAATAATGTTATTTTTAATTTTTTTTTATTTTTTTTATTGTTTAAATGGTCGCTACACTGTTATTTACAGTTATAAACCTAAACTTTAGTAAAATATTTTTCATAAGTATTCTTATTAAGCACAATATATTTGATTTTAATACTACATAATAATTGTATTCTCAGAGTATTTGGAATAATCATATACCTGTGCCAAACAGCTAAATAATTCCAATTTTGTATTATATAAACACGCGGTTAATATCTTAGCAAAATACCATAAATAATTTATTATATATATATATATATATATAATATCAATTTATGTTATTAAATGCATACTAAAAAAATAAAGCTTTTTTATGCAAGTATGTCCAAGAAAAAAATGCATATGTGTGCTGGCGAATGATGAACGTACAAAAATACTTTTAAAATAATTTAAATGATTTGTATTTAAAATAAATTGGTGGGATTTTATTTGTTAAAAACCACTGACTTTAATATATTTAATGTCTTCCATCTATAAACATATCATCATGTTTTATGTGTTGTAGTTAATAATAATGAATATATTATTTACTTTTTATTTAAATCTTTAAGTCTTTATTTATTT